AAATAGAGAGGAATTTTACACACATAGTAGAATTTCTCCTCCAAATTCAACATCAGGGGAAGTCTGAGAAAGGCTTGAATTTCTAAAAACGTTTCTCTGGCCTGAGGTTCCTCCTTCCACAGCACTGGGAAAAATCCCCAGTAGCTAAGGCCTGAGAAGCCAAATCCCTGCCTACAATCTGTGGTTCCAAGGAGACAGCTCCAGCCGTAAGGATACAGCTTCTCACTTCTTGTTCAAAGTAAGCCTGATTCAGGTATGCTAAGCCATGACTTCCTCAAAGAAGTGTTTTTAAAGAGCAGATGGATCCCTTGCCCTCCCACAAAGTAAAAAATACTAACCAAGCCTAACTGCTTGGGCTTAAAGTGCACACTCAACCATGTATTTTGAAATATGCTACCTGTATTTCTTAATGGTTGGATCCAACGTAATTATTAACATTGCATTTCTGCTTATGACAGAAAACTATCACCTTGCTATAGTCTCTCAGGAGTTAATATTTCGGTTGCTTCAGGCAATTAGTCAAATTAAACTCCCCTCTTAACTCTCAAAGCCACTTCCTCTCCTCCTCCCTCCTTCCCCTGGGGAAAGATTACAGACCAGGACGTTGATGAGGACAGAGTTTGGTCCAAGCCCTGATCTCTAAGCCCTTGCTGGCCCCTATGGGACATCTCCTCCTTCTGTCTTTGGGTGTAGGCTTGGGGCTGCTGACATTAGGGCTTGCCAGTATCTGTGGCCACAATCTCAGCCAGTCTCCAGGGGTTCAGATTCCTCTCTGTACCCTCTACTCTGGCTCCAGAATTCTCATCATCTCTATACCCACTCAGAGAGTAAGGACAACCCTCAGGATTCTCCCCTATGCCATGTGCAAGCTTTGGGGTACCAAGAGAGGACAGGAGCTCCAGGATCTGCCTAAATGTGCCCATGGCAAAGCACACACACTTCAGGGTAGTTTCTTTCCAAAGTTCCACACAAGTAATGAGGTACCATGTCCTCTGCCTGCTGGGGTTGCTCCTGAAGGACCCCTTAAAAGAATCCCCGAAGAAGGGACACTGGGTCTCGGTGACCATCTATTCCTATGTCTAGACTTCACCAAATCTCTGTAAGCTCTTCTCACTAACCCAGGCAAAGATTTCTCCCCACCCCCCACGAAGATAGTGTTTCTCTGTGCAACCTTGGCTGTCCTGGACTCACTTTGTAGACCAGGCTAGCCTTGAACTCACAGAGATCCACGTGCCTCCGCTTCCCTGAGTGCTGGGATCACAGGCATCTGTGCCTGTTCCTGGCTAAGATTTCTCCTTTCTATTCGGAGAGGAACTTCCCTGTAACCTCCCTTCACAGCCTCATATATCCACACCTGGCCTTCTGAGGCTTCATTCCTTGGGATTCATAATTATTTTCCTTCTAACAAAGCCTGCCTCTTAAGGGAAGGTTTGGCTAACTCTGGTCTCTGAAACACACTTGAAAGGCCTGCTTGAACATCAAAAGCTGAGCAATATATCCCTTGTCTGTGGCCATGTTCTGTAGTCTCCTTAAAGTAAGAAACCTTAGCCTCAGTCGGGGAGAGTTCCAGGGCAACAAGAATTGGGAAGAGTCGAAAGAAAACTGATATCAGTCGGAAATATTATTCCCGTTAAACCAGCTGCACATGATGCAACCTCTCCTGGGTCCAGAACACTCATGAAGGATAAAAGCAACGCATGCACACATCCTTCTTTCCAAATATCTATAAATGCTTGAACCGAGGGCAACAGAGGCCGATGGGTTCCTAGTCTCAAATTCTTAACTCTACCATCCTTACGGTTTTCTACTGCTGAGTAGATATCCAGTTTAACAGAGAGCTACCCTAGCATCAGCATCAACCTGGAACCTCCCACCTCCCCAGGTTTCCTTATTTAAGCCTCTCTTTCAACATATGTACTGTGTTAACTCCCCAGCCAGCAGACCCTTCCTTACCACTCCCAATTCAAGCCTACAACCCACCCCTGGTTTCTACTTTCAGTTGGTTCAACTTTTGTTTTCTTTCGTTTCTGAGAACATCCTGCTCGCTTGACTAGTCAAATCAATACTTAACTCTAAGTCACCACAAGGCCGGCTTTTCCATGCAAACGTTGCAAAAGCTGTGTTAAGGAGAACCATTAAAAACCTCCAAGTTCCAGTGGGGTGCCAGTCCACAGGTACTTATGACCCATGCAGTCACAGCTGTCCTGAAGCTGAGTGCTCTCTGAATCTTCTCTGCACTCTCAAGACCTCGTGTGTGTACTGCTCCACCTCCTCCTGCCCCACTAACATCTCTCTCGTTAGTAGAGGAGAAAGGGCAATGAGAGCCCAGGCGGATGCTCCAGAAGAGCAATCTGCCTTCTTGGGTGCAAAGGACAATTGTTGCAGCGGCAGGGCCAAGGTGTCTCATCCAATGAAGAGAGAGCGCCTGTCATAGTTGGAGGGTTGAGGAACAGGGAACAGGAACAGGCAGACTGGGGACACAATCGCTTCCATGTGCTGGACTTTTCGGCACGCAGCAGTCTGGGTGGGAGCAGAGTAGGACTGCAATTTCACAAGCTTCAGGTCTCTCTGGATCATACTTCCAATAAACGAGCTGTGACCTTCCGATGTCCAGGAGCTGCCAGCACTTACGCCTGGTGGTTGTTTCCTTCTACCACATTGTTGGCTTCTTCCCAGCGTCCCCCCCCCCCCACTGGCCTCCACAGAGTAACTCAGCCTCTAAGGGAACTACCTCCAGCTCTAGCCGCCCAAAACCAAGAGTATGTTCAATACTGACAAACCAGTGCGAATTCCTAAGAAAGAGGGTCACAGCCTTTTCAACCAAGATAGAGAACACAGGTAGGATACAAATTACTACCTGAAAACAGAATATGGATTCTAAACCGTATCCATAAGCACAGTGGGTCATCTGAGGTACTGCCTAACTAGGAACGTTTTCTTAAGATACATCTCCATCTAGAAGTAGTACTGAAAGCATGCAAGAACAGTGCAGCCGGCGAGTGCATGATATGCACCCGGATACGCTCCCGGCTTGCTATAGCTTTACACGACCTTTCAGTGTGCTGCTACTAAAATAGACAGTAGTGACAATAGCATGTACAAAAGTGGCTGAACATGAACAAACTGAGTAAGCGAATCAAGTGCTGGCATTAGATGCCCATCTTGTTAGAGCAGTACGGGACCCCCCCCCTACATTTACGGTAGGGGGCAGGGAAATTTCAAACCCTAAACTGTGCGTGGCTAAAGCAAAGAAGCCCCCCCCCACCCGCTCTTCTCAAAGATCACAGAAGCATTTCAAACCAGAATGAACACCAGGTACGCTCCCTTTTGCTTCTGCAGCTGCCCTACATCTACAGAAAATGTTCTGTCCGTGCCAGCACATGAAACCTGGCGTTCAGGTGAGGGCTAGGCAGGGGAAGCCATTAATGAGGAACCCTGGTGCAGCTCAGAGGTGGTTCAGAAGATGCTTAACAAATGCCTAACAAACACCGCCCATGGTGCTGTTGTGTCTTTTGTCAGAAAAAAAAAAAAATGACTAGTCTGGTCCCTCCTGTAACCATGGAAAACATTTTATAAAAAGCTCATTTCCTACCATTCCTTTGAAAGACACACAAGGCGGGGGGGCTGAAGATGAGCTGCAGTGACAAATCCTTACTTTGCAGGACCTTAAATCTAGTATAGAGCCCTCCTGCCCTGCCAAAAGCATTCTTCAGAAGATGCCACATGGAGAAGGTACTCCCACAGGCAAAGCTGCCTTCTGTATGGCTCAGGCGACTCTGTAGAATGCAAAATCCAAAAATGGGCAGGTCCATGGCAGGTGAGTCTGTTTTCTCTGCCTCAGAGGCTGTGGGGCATGCCTGTAGCCTCGGCAGCGCCTTCTCATTCACCATTGACTACTATATGCTTCCAGGCCCCTCCAGATGTGGGACCATTCTGCACATTCTCTCCGGTCTCACACGTCACTCTTGCAGTGTGGGAACCTCTCCCCAATGTCTTATCTCCCTGTCTCCCTCTGAAAACTACGTTGGTGAAAACCTAATGGCAGAGGGGGAAGGCCCAACTACTTTCCTGACCATGCTAAACTTACAGAGAGAGAGAAAAAAAAATAAAAAAAGCTAAAGCTTCTGAACAAAGTTCTTTAGATATGGCTGATCCAAAGACACCTAGGACAACTGTTAAACTTACACCATAGTCGGTAGGGGATGCATCTTCTGCCACCAGAATGCACGGAAGCTCACTGTTCAGGAAGATGCCCGTCTAGTACCATGATATCCAGGAAACCAGCTGCACCCCGGACCTTGGCCCACGGCCCATCTAAATAAGCATTACTGACCTTCCACCTGTGAGTGACTCTGCTACAAGTTGCAAGTGGACATACCACAAGATGCAAGAGCAAACAACACGCTAGCACAAAAGGAACCAACAATCTCTTGAAAAGTCAGGACTCCCACATAAGGATTTTAGGGCACTGGAGAGCTGGTCATGGCTGAATTAACAGCCGAGTATTAACGTGGACGAGTCATAAAACTCTTCCGAGCCTCGGATTTCTCAGATCAGGTTTTAGCTAACAACACAAGGCATCACATTTTAGAAAGCTACTGAGATACATAAATGTTTAATGTAAGAAAATGAGGAGACTGGGATTCTAGCTGGGCCTTGACAAATGGGAAGAATTCTAAGGGAAAGACTAGGGGCTCAGAAAAGGTCAAGAAAAGCAAGAAATACATGATCCATGTTCAAGGTGGAATGACTGGACAGACATCTTGGCTAAGCAGTGAGGTGAGCCAGGTATAACTGAGGCGTGACATGAAGAGTGCAGGCTTAGAAGGCCATGCTCAGGAATCCGGTCTTTCTTCTCCTACACTGTGTGTGGTTAGTACCCAGAAGGAACCAGCATCAACATCAGCTCCTGCTGACAAGGATCTGGGCCTCCCCAGTCCATCTAGAGCATGGGAGTGAAGCAAATGTTCTTTGCAAGCCAGAGGCAGAAGGATACATACCCTGAGAACGTGGACCAGACCGCGGCGTACAAAGAACTGGCACAGAGCGACACTGTCAGGGAGGAGACAATGAGAAGATAAGAATGACAGAACGTTAAGAGTGTGCTGATACAGCTCCAGAGCTGTGTCTGAGAACAGTAAGATTCTGTGTTCACATTTCTAGGTTAGAAAATAAACTAGAGCAAATTGACACCCTCCAAACTGAGAGAAAAACTGGGAAAACTGGGAACAGGAACCAATGCTTTTAAAAACACTCGATTGCACAAATAAATTTAAAACAAAAACCAAAGTTTACAAGCAACAATATCTGAAAATGTCATGGCTTTTGAACTGATACCATACTGGTGTGGAAATGAAGGAAATAGGGAGCATTTGCCTTTCAGTGAAGTTTAAACTGGACAGGTTTAAACTTCACAGACAAACAGACCCAATCACTTTTGGGGAGGATTAAAAGAAAGATCGGGAAAGCTCCCTAGGCTTTGTTGTGGGAAAGAAAAACTGGCTCGTTTTAAATTTTCCGTTAAAGCCCTACTTTTCAAAGCAGATGGACTCCTTACACAACTTCTAAAAAGCCTACTATTTTGGGGTACCTCAAAGATGGAAGCGCTGAAGAAAATAAAGATTGAATTCGCCAAATAAAACCCCACTAGCACATTCAAAAGAAGCAGGGGCTTAGGAACCTTTAACGTGCAAGTTCAGAGGTCTTCTTGTGTCAGAAGCCAAGGCTCCCCCAACTCTGGCTAGGGGTGCGGGGGGCTCATTTCTATCAATCCCCACCTGCTCCCCACCACTAGAGCTGGGCCTCCATTCTGGCTTCAACTCCTGCCTTCTCAAAGTTCTTCCTCCTGTATTCTCACTGCTCCTCCCAGCTACAGAGAAGATCTCAGAGTGTTTGACCCTGGCTGGCTGACTGGAATCAGAAAGCAGCCTGGGAACACACACTCCAGCAGGGTCTGGGCACTCCGCAATCGTTGACGTAGTGTGCCCTTCTTCTGACGGCAAACCTGGTTTTATTACCTGTTCGCTGTTCTACAAGGGTGGACGGAAGTACAGGAGGGCCAATGCTTGCAATACACTGGCTCTGTGAGGCTGGCATAGAAGCTGCTGGGTACGCGCGCTCCCTCACAGATCACAATTTCTTCTGAGAGATGGAGCAAAAGGAAAGTAACAACATAGGCACTGGAGCCAGACCCCCTGGGGTCACATCCCCAGCTCTGCCACGCACTGGCCGTGATGAAAATCACATAACCTTTAGGTTTCAGTTCTCTTATTAAGCGGGGCTAATGGTGTCATGGAATAACGCTGTACGTCACCCCCATATACCCATGATTTGCCAAGTGCTTACATGTCACTGTAAAAGTCCAGTACTCCTTGTCCCCAACCCATTTGACTCCCTCGGCTGCATGAGTCAGGCTGTGATGAGGGTGACAGGAGTTGGTGAGCTTGTGTTGTGGGAGCCCTGAGGGAGGGATGGGGGGGGGGGCTTCTCAGGAAGTGAGTCCTCAGCGGCCACGTCAGGAGTGAGCTTTTCCGCAGTGGGGTAAAAGTGCCTGGACGTGCTCTACCTACCACATGACAGAGCAACTGCAAAGGCAAGGAGGCAGGGAAGGGGTATTACAGCCTTCAGAAGCAGGAAGCACCCAGGCCCGGCCTCACTAGCTATTAGCTGTGTGACACGCGCAAGTGACCTCACAGCTTTGAGCCTCCGTCGCCCCATGTGACTAATGGGGATAATCATATTGTGCCTGTCACATGGAGTTGTTATGATTAAAAAATTACTGTGTGTAGAATGGCAAACACGGGCCTCTAGGGTTCAATAAAAGGCTGGCGTTATCTGTCCAGCCACATTCAGACAAGAACGTGCAGCTGCGGAGAGCCACAGTGTGCACCTTTGATCACCCACAAAAATGGTGAGGAGAGTACAGGGCCAAAGCCTGCGAACCCCAGCAAGAGCCTTTTGAATAGCAACAATCAGCTGAGCCTTTCTGAGATCATCATTTTTTTTTCCTCCCCAAAGCTTATAGGAAATAGGTGCTCAAGATTTACTTTCCCAAGACAGCATGGTGTCGCCTGAGAAGGTTGGCATACTAGTGCAGAATGGGATGTGCACTTCCTGAAGTGTACCCAAGAAGACCAAGGTGGCTTCCCATCCCAAGGGAGGCCCAGAGCGGGCCCTTCACAAACAGGCGGAGACCAACAAAAGCGCTGGCATCCAAATGTCACAACTCCGAGTCTAGCAAACACTGTTAAAGTTTCATGAGTCAGTAGGCATTATCTTTTCTTCCCACGTTTTTATTAGGCTGTAAATCCAGTTCAATTTATATCCTTCTAGGATTACTGCCTCCTAATCAAGTCCAGAGTGTCACTTATCCCTAAGCTGTCTATGCTACGTGTCCCCCAAGCCCAGCTAGATAATGTTGTTGAGGCTACTTAGGTTGTTTGAAGAGCTAAAAATTAGATTTGCTCAACTACGAACTCTCAAAGATGGTCATATTTCTATAAATAACCCAGATCTTTTTTTCTCTACAAAAATCGAATGCATGGTTTTTCTTTCTTTGTAGTTTTCTTTTTCTTTACAGAATCAGGATACATTTTAAAGTCAAAGTCAAGAGGCTGAAGTGTAAATAGGTTACAATTCTGGTTGTCTATCCAAAACAAAGAAACCCTTTACAAGGCTGGCTTCAGAATGTCTTTATGCTTCTGTTCTCAAGGATAAAAAAAGAGTCTGTATTTCTTAAGAAGACTCAATGAAAATGCATTCAACCACACCAGATAAGCGAATTTCCTACCTTTCCTAACATTTCTTGCTCTGAGACTGACAGTCGTCCATTAAATCTCTTTATAAACACTCAAAACACCATACACACACACACAAATACAGTGTTGCTCAAGATCATGTACATAAGAAAGCATTACTGTGATCTCTAAATGCTTGTGTATGCGCGTGTGTGTGTGTGCATGCACACACACGTTATATAAACACAGTTACATACACTAACACAGTTTACTGATACGTGGGGCGTGGTTCTAAGTGCTTTAAACTCATCAATTCTTTCAATCTCCATTTAGAGATAACGAAGTGTAAGCAGAAGAGGCTCGTGGTTAAGAATGTACACTGATCTTGGAGAAGACACTAGCTCAGGTCCCTGAACCCACATCAGGCCAGCTCACAACTGCCTGTATCTCCAGCTTCAGGGGATCTGACACCTCTGGCCTCCTCACACACCTGTACTCACATGCATTTGCCCCTCCCATAAGTATTTTTTAAGATTAAAAAAATCAAAGTGTAGAAATATAAGGTCACATATCTAAGATGATCAAATAGGGACTCCATCTAAGCTCTGGACTCTAAACCCCACCCTCTCCTGAACTCTGAGCAGGTTACCAATTCTCTCTGGATTCATTTTGTCGCGAGTGAAATTAGCGTATTGAATTATATGATCCTTAAGATTCCAGGTCCCATGGCCTGCAACCTTAAAAACTCTGAGTGGATTCCTCTTGATTATATGTCTGATGCCTGAACTTGTCCATGGAGAGGCAGATGCCAAGACTGCTACCCCTCGGGTCCCTGGATGATTCTCTGCTTGGTTTCCCAAACTTCCTATGCTAAATCCAATAGCACTTTTCATCCTGTATCCTGTCATCTCTCTGGCTCCAGCTACTACTAAAGCTCCTGGCTGTCTCCTATTTGGAATTTCCTCTACTGAGGGCCTGCACTCTTATTTCTGTTACTGGGCTCACCTTGGCCACACCTATTCTTTCTACTGCCATATGCTCCCCCAGGAACATATCCATGGCTTTAAGTATTTTGCAATTTGCTACTAGCAAATTTATATTTGAATCTTAGTCTTCTTCCCTCATTCCAGACCCACCCATCCAGTCACCTGCATCCAAAGTGGCCACAATGAAGCCACCCTTCTGGTGCCTTATTGGTCTCCTCTCCATCTCATCCCACAGCAATTTCTCTTCTGTGTCTCAGTCTTTTTCACTCCATCTCTACTAAACACTTTCCCTCCAAGCCTTCATCTGCTGTTCCCAGCTTCTGCATATATTCCTCCCAGAAAGGCTCTTGTCCACCTCAGGCCCAAACCCCACACTACTACCAAGTTATGCTCATAAAACACAAGTAAGGCTCATGCCACATCTACTTGAAACTCAGGATGAGCGCTTCTAAAAATGTTTTCAATTTCTCCTTCAGCTCTGTCTGATCCCTCGGCACATCTCTCCCAACTGCTCCCATCTAGTTTTGAACTAGTCACAGCACCCCAAACAGTCATTTATGTACCTTTTGACACACACACACATATATATTTTTTTTCTGATACAGCGGACTTCCCACAAAACTCTGGTAACCAATTCTCACTCCCATATATCTCCTCCTGCACCTGGTGGTACAGGGCAAGGATACTGTAGCCACACTAACTGAGCCTGATTCTGACTCTTCCCTAACAATTATGATTTTAGATCGGTTATTCAAGAAGTATTGGAACTTCTACTTTTCCTTCCATAAAATGGCGATTACTGGAGACATTGGTTCGTATCGTTCTTGCTCAGATTAGAGCTTAAGTAGAATATGACCCAAAGTGAATGCTCAATAAATGTTAACTATTATCTATTATTGTCATCTCTTCTAGTAGACTGTGGGCTTCAGAAGAACAAGGAGCATTCACTGCTACAGCCCTATATCCTTGCTTCCTTGCACAAAACAGCATAGTAGGCTAATTTTTGTAGAACACTAATTCAGTGTAAGGAAACTTACATAGCGGGGTAATGTTTGTAGAATATTAATGTAATGAAATGGCCACTGAAGAAATAAACGTACATTATCAACTGTGATGACTAACACAAACAGAACTCCTACAATGGTGTGGAGGTCTGTGGGGACCAGGAGCCATTTGGGATGCTAGCAGTTCCCCTACTCAAGATCCAGAAGCACAGTCTGCTTCCATGTAATATGCTGGATGCAAAGACACAGCCAGGAAAGCTGGTGATGGAGTCTCACCTGTCCTACATGCTGAAGGGAACAGAGAAGTTCAATTCCCAACCAAAACAGTAATCATCATAAAAAAAAAAAAAAAAAAAAAAAAAAACTGTGTCAATGAATAAGCTGTTAATATGAGTTTAGTCCTTGGTAACTGGTAGAAGACTCTTGTATAAAGCAAACAGATATAAGACTCTCACTCCCTCATTCACGCTGCCCAGCTCCCATAAAACCCCCTCCTTACTGATATCAGCAGATGTCCATTTCTTAATTTCTTAAGGAAACTAAAATAAAATGGTACTGTGATTTGTAAGTATCCTCTCTAGCCACTCTGGCAATTACAGAATTTCCGGATTAAAAACTAGGCCCAGATAGGTACTTCTAGGATAAAAAACAAAAAACAAAGCAAACAAAAAAAAAACAAACAAACCACAGCCAAGTCCATAGAGCCTGCATCAAATGAAGGTATGGCAATGGACTGCCCAATGATAAGTGGCTCCCCAAATGACAAAAACCCATTTTTTTTTAAAAAAAAAAAACATGCTGAAGATGAAAATACCTGAAACTTATAAAATCAAAGCAAAAAAATAACGGTGGCTTCTGTTAAGTGTTGAGTGTTGTGCAAAGCTGTTTACCAAACACACACTTCTTTTCCCTTTCTTTGGGCACATGGCTAAGCTAGACAGCTCAGATTCTCCGGCACTTAAAACATGGCCATACAGTCAGCCTTCTCCTAAAGACTGAGGGGAAGTGATGTGTGCTGTGCCCAGACCAAACCATTTTAAAGGTAGATACACCCTCCCCCACTCTCTTTATACCACCAATCTGTCAGCTGAAACAGGTTCCAATAGAAAGCTACGGCACGATGGAGGACTGGGACCTACAATCACTAACTGTATAGAAGAAAGCCACATACTGAACAGAAACACCTATTTTGGACTATCACATGAGCAAGAATAAATATCTCTTGTTTTTGTACCACTGTATGTTTTCAAGCCTAACTAACATGAATCCACTTAAAACAGATGTTGGGTACATATCATTGACCTAATTCACATTTGTTGCACATGAAATGAAAACCACCAAGAAATACCAACTAAAGCAAAACTTGAGAGAAAACAGGACAAGCCAGATTAGGTCCCCTGTCCTCTGCACGCACAGAAGACAAACATAATATGTGATGACAACATTGGAAGACAAATTTGAAGACATTGTCTATAACAAAGGAGTTGGAGAAGGTTTCTGAAAAGAGATGACATTTGTGCTGGGCCTGGAGGGTAAAGGCTTCAAGAACATCAGATGGGGTTGGAGAGTCCAGATCCCTGAAACGTGGAGGACATTTGTTCATGCTCAACCTTATCATTAGTAAGTGCTTCTACCTTGCTCAGTACAACATAAGTTTATTGTGTACTGACTTTCCTTTCTGGGCCTGGTGGCCAACAGACCAGCCTTGTTTTCAGAGAACATATAGTATTAACCCTTCTGCCTTTCTGTATATATTGTAAAAAGTTCCATGAGGAATGTCGGAGTGTAATACATCACGACTCTTTTCAGATAAAATGGCTAAAGAATAACTTGGAACAGTTTTGTTATTCTCAACAGCCAGGGCACCACAATCCGGGAGTCAGCAGCTACCGCCTAAATTTTGATATACCGTGCCCGAGACTTACATTACATTAACATTTCCACGTTAAGAGGAACATCTTCATCCCCTGCTCAGAGTTAACTACACCCTAAAGCTTGAGCGTTGAAACCACTTCCTCCAAAGTCTGAGTCTCTTCAGCTCATGAATGTGTGGTGCTCACGGGGCAGAGATAGGGAGACAGAGCACAAAGGATGCCAAGTATTGTAGTTGCTCTGTGGTAAGAGAAGGATGTGGCATCCAAGTCAACCTTGAAGCAGGCAAGAGGTATCTCCAGTGGTCTTCCAAATGCCAGCCCAGTCCTTGCCCATCCACAGCCCCAGCTTCTTAAATAAAAGGGCAGAGCAACACTGCTGGGCAGACCAGAGCTCATTTCAAAAGACTTCATTCAGCAAAGCGGCCTTGGATTTCAGAGAATCCAGTCAGACCGCCTCACTCTTGTTAAAAACAGTTTGAATCTGACTCTGAAACAAAATTCTTCTGAACCCCCCCACCCCACCACCAATTTATGACTTCTCAGGTATCAGTACCTATCCCCCAAAAGGAAGAAAAAGGGGGAAAGAGGGAGGAGAGAGGTTTCCTTGAAAGTAAAGCAACTCCTGAAACAGCTGAAATAATCTCCTCCCTTAAATAGAAGAAACTGCAGTTGCCACTCAACGTTACCAGTCTGTGAATACTGCAAAAATGCTTGCACCTGCCACCCGGGATCTTTGGGCTTTCTTTTTTTTTTTTTTTTTCTTTTTCTTTTTTTTTTTTTTTTTTTTGTAAATGTGGCAGAAAGGCCTAAAGAGATCAACTGCTTCATCAGAAAGAAAGGGAGCCCCAGAGATGAGACACAAGAAGCATGGTGCCCTGGGTACTTTATGTGTCTCTTCTCTATGAACTGAAAGGGCTCTTTGTGTCACACTCACACACACACACACACACACACAGCGACTCTGATTTATTGGAGGAAGGAGGGGCAAAATGGGTGATTTTATTATCCCTCCTCCCAGTGAGTTCCAGCCAGGGCCCAAGCTTGGTGGCCTCTTTCTAGTCCAGTCCCTTCTGCCTATGGCCGCAGAGATAAGAGAGCCTGGAGGAGACCAAACAAAACCGTCCACCGACCTGGGGAAGTAGGGAGGAAATCCAACGAGTGGAGAAGGGAGGAGAAATGAGCTTGAGAGAGCAGAACGGGTGGGGGACAGAGGAAGAGGAGGCAAGGCAGGCCAGGCACAGGGGAAAAGGGAGGGGTGGGTGGGTGGTAGTACAGGAAGGGTGAAGGGGAGAGTGGGGGAAGTGCAAGGGAGGTTCCAGAAATAGGCAGGAGGATGCGCTGGGGAAGGCGAGGGCCGCCGAGGGAGGAGGCCGAGAGGTGGAGGAGTGAGGTGGAGGAGTGGGGCAGGGGTTGGGTGGGGAGGAAGGCAGCACGGGGCATCAATTATTAAGTGATTACATCATCCCTGACATTAAAACAACACACACAGCCCGGGTCCCCGCGGGGGGCCGCGAAAGCAGGGCGGGGGCGGAGCTGGGCCAACCTCGCCCCCAAGCCAAATCCTATTTTTTTTCACCCGGCGCCGGCCGGCGCCCGAGGAAACAGACCCCGGTGCCTGCGCAGCCTCGGGGGCCGCACCCCGCATCGGTGTCCTGCGTCGCGGGGCGCCCCGGAGGCTGCGCGGTGGGACCGCAGCGGGAGCAGCCTGTGCGGGGGCGCTGGGCCGGGCGTCTCCGCAGCATCCCACGGCTCCGCGCATCCCCGGCCCCTTACCTGCGTGGCGTGGCGCTCGGCTCCGGAGCACATTCACATGGTCCTCTCCCCCGCCCTCCTCTGGCGCGGCCCTGGAGGCTCCGGTGGCGGGGCCCGGGAGCTCGTGGGCCTCGCGAAGCGCCGAGGGGGCGGCGCCGGTGTCCCCGGCCGGGCCCGGCAGCCCGGTCCTTCCCTGGCGCGGGCGGCGGCTTTGTGTGCGCCCGGGGGAGTCCTCGGAGCGCTCCGGCTCGAGGCGGCCTCGCTGCGCTCCCGACCGGCGGGCGGGTCTCGGAGGCCCGGCGCACGGCGACCCCTCCTCCTCTCCGCGGAGCCCCCTCCCCGCCGGCTGCGCTCCTGACAGATGGCGCAACTGCACCGACGCACCGCCGCCGCCGCGGCTCCTAGCAGCTACTCTCGCTGATGCTCGGGCTGCTCCGGATCCCGAGGGGTGCGAGAGGGGGCGGGACACGCCGGGAGACTGTCAGGTCGCTCTGCCCTATCAGAGGGCCCTCTGGGAGCTGAGGGCCGCGGCCATTGGTGCGCGCCTCGGAGGCGGGACGGGCATGGGTGGGGCCACCCAGTGGGTTGAGCGTTACTGTGGTGGCGGGCATCCTGGCGTGCAGGCAGCTAGGGTGTGCGAGAGGATGCGAGGTTGGTGGTGGAGGAGGAGGTGTGTGTCTAGGGATCGTGTGGAGTTGGGAGTTGGCGGGGTGGACAGGGGAGAAGCGGAGGGAACGAGCTGCTTTCTGCTTTGCTGGTGGAGACTGGCACCTGCCACTCCGCCCCACAGCCATGGGAACCAATTTCTCCAGAGAAATAGCCTCGCCTTTGAGAGTGGGAGGATAAAATGGAAAGGTGTTGAGAATGGCGGTTGGAACTTAGAGAAGTGAAGATCAGAGACTGGGAAAGCTAGAGCCCGCAAACGCGCAACGAATAACAAGAAGAAATTCATAATTTATTAGTCTCATTTTATTGGGCACTCATATATGCCCCCCCCCACCACACACACACACACACAAAACAGGAAAAGTATTGCTAAAATGCAAAGGGCCTGTGACAGAGAAACCCAGAAGAGATTGTTTGAGCTCTTTCTCCAGCTGTTTCGCAGGAACCTTTGCTTGTCTGGCTTCTTGGGGCATTCAGACTTCTCTGGGTTTTCTTGTTTTCACTCGATGCTGAGCTGAGCTTTTTGCTCAGATTTTCCTTGATGAAATAATAGCCGGCTTGGTATGCAGTCGGTCTTTATTTCCGATCCAGCTTTTCTATGGCAGGATGTAGCTTCATAAAAAGAAACACTTCGCCTTCCTGATTTTCTTTAAAGGTAATTCCTGTTTACTGAGAGCTCTGTTTTAAGACATGTTCGGAATCATTTTCCTTAATGATTTTGGCAAGAAACTCGCCCCCGCCCCCACCGACCCCCAGCAAATCCCATCTTCTGAGAAGTACGTTTAAGCAAAGCAGCCTTGGCTTCAGAGCTCAAGGTCTGTGTTATCTTTCCTGCCCACTACTTTTTTTTCCCCTGCAGTTTAAAAATACTGGCGCTGACCTTTTTGAATATGCGGTGCTTATTCAGTAAGTGATCCTCCCATGATGAATGAGGAAACTGAGGAAAAGAGAGTGTGACACTCAGGAATTCCATATCCAATCTCTTCCCGAAACCCAGATCAGATGGAATAAGTACCTCATGGTTTATAGTTTCTTCAGAGGAGTCACTTTTTGGCATCTGCAACATAATAGCTTCTCCATGTAATTAGTGGACAAATGAAAGACAAAATGGGTAAATGACAAATTAACCAACTCCCAGCAAGACTCCATTCTATGTTTTTAGTTCTTTACTTGCCTTGCTTAAAAAAGAAAAGAAAAACAAAACAACAACAACAAAAAAAAAACTCTTCCTAAGTATAGCTTTAAAGGGATTGGGTCTCCACAAGAGAATTTGCTGATGTCCTGAACAAGTGAATATAAGCCCTGCAAAAATGTCAGCCTTATTTCTCATTTTGATCTACTCCCAAAGGTCTTCACAGTGAACTTAACTTAAAAGTTGCCACTGACCTGTCCAAGACAAGGGTATTTCCCTATATAACCTGCAATTTTGTTTTCTTATTTTCTTACAAGCAGTATCTATTAGACCAATTAGAATGTAAAATATCTCCTAGATTTTGCTACTTGGTTGGTTTTTGTTGGTTCTATTTCTTTCACCTTTAAGCCCTCTGTTTCTATTCTGGTGTTCTCTTTTTGTTTTGTCTAATCTGTGTTTCCAGTTTTTGTTTCAATGTATATTTAATGTTATTAGCTAAAGTGTTTCCCATCTTAGTAGACTTTAGTTTTCTTATCAATCAACAGGAAAATAAAAATAGTTACTCCAACTTAAAAACTGTGTGCAAAGGAAGGGCTAGGGAGATGGCTCTGAATAAAGAAAGGGCTGGCTGCTGAGAGCAGGAGAACCTGAGTTTGGGTCCCAAAATTAAACATTTAAAAAGCTGGAACGGTGGCAAGTGTCTGTAGCTCCAGATCCAGTGAGAGACCCTGTCTAAAAATATATTAAACAGTTTAGAAAGCCTGACCTTGACCTCTGGCCTTTACAGGCATTACACACAAGGGCAAGTACACTTATAAGCACATACAAACACCTATAAACACATACATCCCACAAAGAGACAAACACACACGTGCACAAGGGAAATGAATTCCAAAGTGACCATGCATCAGCATATGCCCAACGGACTGGACATCACACTACACAGATACTTCCCAGCTGTGTCCATTGCCATTCTGCTCACAATAGCTAGGACTTTTAGGACAACCTAAAAGTTCTTTAGCTGAAGAAGGGGTCATGAAAATGTGGGACACGTACCCAGTGGAATATTCGGCCGTAAAGATAAGGGAAACCATGAACTTTTCAGGCAAGTGGATGGAACGACAAAGGATCATCTTGAGTGCTGCAACTCATACCCAGAAAAGCTAACATCACTTGTTTTTTTCTCATTTGTGGTTCCCAGTTCCAAATTGTCAGACGTAAGTGCATCACATGGAGAAACTGCAAAAACCAGGAATGTAAAACGAAACTGTGGCAGGAGTGGGGAGCAAGGGAGAAGGGAAGAGCAAGGAATAGGCAGTTTGAAGGGAGAAGAGGGAAAATTTGAGGAGGGGGTAATTAGGGAGAGAAAGCAGAGAGAGTAAATGCAGAAGAAAAAGGTAGGTGAGTAAAATAATAAGAATGTCTAAAGAAAAAGTCATAGTCATCTTATTTTCTATCTACATAAAATTAAATACAAAACATGTCTCTCCCTTGGCCTGCCCTGCCCCTGCAAGAGAAATAGATATCTAACAAAACCCCGAACACCAGGCATAAGAACACCAGGCATGAGAAGTCCTTTTTTGCATTGTTGTTCACGGTTGTCCAACAGATTCCCAAAACATTTTAGGATATTGCTATCACCCTTGGTTGCCTCCAAGGTTGAAGTTAAGTTCCTATTTTGGAATGCACCATATACTTCAGACAAAGGACCAAAAGGACAGGAGCTGAGTCTAAGACGAAGGCCTCCTCTGTGATGACTGTCTTTCCTGGTACCAGAATGTGTCATGCAAACCTCCAAGGGAGGAAGCAGCCAGTAGTCCTACCCAGTTCTGATGCCTATAAACTGCATCAATGACCAGCGTGGCATGATAGTCCTCAGGGTGCAATAATGGTACACATGTCTCGGTGATAACCAACAGCTCCCTAATTGGAGTTAAGGCTTGCACTTGAGGCATGCTCAACAAGATAGAAACCAGGCCTCCTAACGGAAATCTAATCAGCTACCTATGGCTAATGAAGTCAAGTATCTTAGATGAGAAACTATAAGAACCACCAAACTAAACCAGTGTAATTCCTAACTACATTGTAAATATTCCAGAGGTAAGTGTTCTTCTCATCCCTCATCAGAGAAACTTCTCTTTGCAATAGATGGATACTGTTGCAGGAAACCACAACCAACCAAAATGCAGAGAACAAGAGAACATGTAGTGCCCAATCCCAGCCAATACATCTGCAACACAGTTCCTGCACCTGAGGCTCGGGGATCATTGCAGAAGAGGAGGTGGCAGGATTATAAGAGCTAGAGAATCAGGAAGTTTGCTGTGAGATTTTTGTCTCCCAGAAAAGTCAAAGAGGTTACACTCATGAAATCTCATCAACATGCATACCTAAACAAGACCTGAACAACATCCACTGAAATGCTAACATGTCAATGGAAGGAGGAAAGCTCAAGGGACCTCAATTCTAGATAAAGAATTATGGACAACTGGGGAAGGCTAAGAGCAGGAGAAACCGTCTTCTCCATTTAAGGACCTACCAATTGGTTATTTGATACCAAGTGGTCATCCCTGAAATTATATATGTACAGGTAATGTTATTATATTGTCTAAAAAATATGTATATGTAATATACGTATGTATCTATATATACAATTATGTTTGTGCTTTTTCATAGACAAAATATGCAAGTATATACGCAAAATTTATCTTTGAGGTTCTCCAAGTTAAGAGACTAATAAGGCAACTTGCTAGATACTTAAGAGCAACAGTGTGAGATGAGCAAAACACAGAGCATATTAGTCAGGAAATGACTGACTACCTGGCTGTGGTGGTGCAGGCCTGTAATCCCAACACTTGTGGAGGCAGAGGCAGGCAGATCTCTCTGAGTGTGAGGCCAGCCTGCTCTACAAAGGGAGTCCAGGACATCCAAGGCAACACAGAGAAACTGTTTCAACAAACAAACAAATAAAATAGAATTTTTATAACATAGATGAAAAATGTTTTAAAAAAATATATGGCTACTGCTTTCATGAATTCAAACGGCATATATCATCAGTTTGTCATTGGAAAGATGAAAAAAAGAGAGAAAAATCATTGTATCAGTCAAGGGTTTCCCTTGAGAGCATCAAAAGCATACTACGGCTAATGAAACAAACAAAAACTTTATTAGGAGATTGTCTCATCGAATTGATGGACAGACTTGAGAACTAGGCTCAAGAAAGAACAAGCATCCAAAGACACACCTGAGAACTGGCCAGGACACCTCTTGGGGGGTCCCCATGCCTCAAACACTATAGAAGAACAGGGCCCAGATATGTATCCTAAGCTGTCTCCTCATCTTTGTCTCTTATGGAAGATTTCAGTTCTTGGGTGGCACTACCCAATGGGCTTTTGGGACACTCGCTGTACCTGGGACAGGTGAGAACTGAATACGCAATCCCTTCAGTGTATATGAAACATGATGAGGCCTGGTCCCCAACCAACTCAGAAAGCAGTACTCTCCCCAAAAGAGAGTTGAGGTGTTAAGCCAGAATTATTAAACTGATTGTACAGCTGCCTACCTGAACCTGTGTTCTGGCACTGTTGTT